CATTTTTTCACTTGTGCCTTTCAGGTGAACGACAGCCACTGACCGACAAGAACAATGCCGACCCGGGAAACTTGGGCAAAAGCCTCGAGCCTGTGTATCAATCCGTGAATCCATGAATCCGTGAACACTGTGAATACCCTAGCTAGTTTAATCAGAAATCGCTAATTGTGGAAATGGTGACTCACTTTAATGGGCGGAACTTTCAAACAGTTTCACCGCTGAGATCGCTGGAATCCGTGAATCCATGAATCCGTGAACACTGTGAATACGTTACCTAGTTTAATCAGAAATCGCTAATTGTGGAAATGGTGACTCACTTTAATGGGCGGAACTTTCAAACAGTTTCACCGCTGAAATAGATCGCTGGACGCTCTAGAACCTTCGCGGCACTTGTGGGTGTAAAATATGCGGAGGTATCACTCCGGTAGATATTTTTGATCTATATTTGCTGTTACAAAAGTAATTCCGGAAGCCGCGTTCATTATAGCCGGAAAAATTTTGCAAGTTTATTTTTGAACACAAGAGTGTTCCATTCTAGCTTGCGCAATGGGCCGTAATTTGCGGAAGACCGAAACTTCGATCATTGCGGACAACTGAAAGAACCTAGCTGACGCTCACTACTAACATGTGGGTAGGGCTTCACGGCGCCCCATCAACTAGACACATGGAACCTAGGTCAGTCATGACCGACATCTAATTTGCAGTTGCTGAAGCTTTTGATCTGTCAGTTATCGCCTAGTTCACGCGGGTACAATTGAGGGCTACTCATGCTTTCTCGTCGTCGCTGGCGAACCGGGTCATTTTGTCTTCCCATATCTTTTTATGGCACACCAGGCTACTATTCATCAACTAACTTTTCAGAATTTTATGGTCAACGGCTATAAAGCTCCTCGTTTGTAATATATACATGTTCAACCAATAAACTATAGAGCAGCGCCCAATTAACCGTCCAACTTTCTATGAATCATATCCTGGTTTTTTGGATGACTCCGTGTTGGATGTGACGCTGAGTGCCTGAAACGCTCTACGCGTCATTCACGGATTCATAGGATCGAGGCTTGCTCCGGAGTTTTCGGGATCGTCCTACTCCTTGTCCTTTGGTGGCGGCCGTCCAACTGAAAAGAACAGGTGAAAACGTCCAGCACTGTTCTCAGCGCGAATCAGTAAGCTTGCCAGCGTGAGGATTCGCATAAAAGCGACTAATAGTACTTCAAACTGGATACTGAATGCAGCGTGGACAACCGTCGCAGCAAGGTTAATCCACGCAGCCACTTTCCGAAATTATAAAATATTTTGCCTGATAAATGTATGTTGTGTGAGCTTACCCCGCAGAGTGTTGGCTGGGACACCGGTGTAAAAACTGTATGTCAAGTTTAAGGTCCCCTCGGCGTCGACAATACTCCAGAGGAACGTGGTTAGGCACCAAAAGACGCGCTTCATAGCTCATGAAATAAAAGCCAGCAATCATTTTCGCGGCAGCTAGTTGGACACACTAAATGCGGGTCACCTCTTTCTGGCGCCAAGTCTAGAATCATGGTTGGCACATTCGGGGAGTGGTCTGAAGAAAGCCGCATGTGGTATTTGGAAGTCCTTACGAGTAATGCGAGAGCAGGTGCGCCGAATCATACGGTGAATGCCTTTTGTGCCGATTTCTCATGGTGAGTGA